ATTCGCTGTTGACATTGCCTTGATGAGTAACTTGGGGGACGAATTACGGCTCATAATTACTGAACTGGACACGGAAAGCAGAAGAGTAGGTCTGAAAATTAATATGCACTAAACTAAAGTAATGTGCAACCGTCTCGGCAGAGTAATGTGCAACAGTCTCGGCAGAAAACAGCACTTTGCGATAGGTGGAGAGATGCTGGAAGTTGTAAAAAAATATGTCTACTTAGGACAGCAAGTAACCGTGGAGCCGAACCACGAGAGTGAAATAACTAGAATAATAAAGATAAAGTGGATCACATTTGGCAAGCATATTTAAATCATGAATGGTAATCTGCCACTAACCCTCAAGAGTAAGGTATATAACAGCTGCGTCTGGCCGGTATTCACCTACGAAGCAGAAACATGGAGGTTTACAAGAAGGATTTAGCTTAAATTGAGGACGATGGAGCAAGCAAACGAATGGAAAATGATAGGTATAATCTTAAGAAACAAGAAGAGAGCAGAGTTAACAAAACAGGATTAAAGATATCATAGTTGAAATCAAAAAGAAGAAATAGACATGAGCTGTACACGTAGCACGTAGGCAGGATAACCACTAGTCAATAAAGGGACACTAAAGGCAACTATTAAGTTGAGGTTGATTGTTTAAATAGTGTTTCAGAAACCTCATAGTGTTACTTTTGTGCCAAAGATGGAAGTGCTTATTTTGAAATAAAATGACGTTTTAGTGGTTCGCATCGGACTAGCGCACTTCAAATTACCCGCCTCTTGCCGTGCATAATGTTGCCTGGCTTTACTGCTTGGCCCCCCGATACTAGTAGCAGAAGAACGAAAGTTGCGGGAGCCACAGCAGCAACAACGCGCATTGAATAAATTCCTGGCATAGCCTCCGAGATGACAGACATGCTTGGTTCAACTTGGCCCTGCTACATGGTACGACCTGCCCAATTTAACCTAGGCGAAAATTGAACTTTTGATTCACTCACGCCATTCCCCATAGTATCATGCGGCAGTTTTTTCCATGAATCAAACAGAAATGAACAAGCAGCATTTTTTATGTCCCTTGATGCACGAAAGGTTCTCTATTGGGTGCATCTAGTTCGTTTACTAGTGATTAATTGTAAATGGTATCTCTCACATGATCAGGATCATTTTACGAATGTCTTACATGTAGCACATGTCTTCTCATGTATTGACCCTGATTTCTGGGCAAGTAGGACACTGCTGTTGATAATATTGTCATTTTAGACGTCATACAATAAGCTTTCACTCTGACATAAATTTTTATTTCACTTTAGTGTCTCTTTTAGAGTAACTGACTGGATTCCCAGAGAAAGCAAATGCACGAAGGAGAGACAAAAAGTTAAGTGGGCCGATAAGATTAAAAAGTTAGCAGGTTAGCAGGTTAGCATCGCTGAGATAAAGAAGTTTGAAGGTAAAACACTAGACCAGGTTGATTGGGGGATCATGGAAAAGGCTTTTGCCCTGCAGTGGGCGTAGTCAGGCTGATGATGACGATGAACTGCCAAGTGGGTGTGTGGGTAAAGGTTTATGACAAAAAGTGCACTTTGCACAAATACTAAGAAAGAAAACTTTAGAGTCAGTTGCTACCACGCAAGAAAAAATCTGTATTCAGAAAAGAATGTTCTTATATGCATCCCGCACATGCACGTCACTATACCCACATTCATCATCTAAAAACAAGGTATATCAGCAATAGACCAATAAAAAAAATGACGTACATCTGAGAAGCACGTGTTAAACAACTCACGAACGAGAAAGGTATTTTGCTGATTTGTAATGTTTAAACCAAAAAAACCAATTAGGCATCTGGTATTAAGAAAGATGCCTGGCTGTTACACCTATTTCCTGCCTTTTCAATTTGAAAGGCTTTAATGATTTCCCCAGGTCATTCTCTGTTTGTGCAAGTAAATGATGACTGCGACACAAAGCTTTGGCTGGCATGTACAGCCGCGGCCACGTCTGTGTAGAGCACGCGAGCAGCCGGTTTTCGCTTTGTGTGATGAAAGCTTGGGGCAGTATCAGGCTCTGACATGGTCAGCTTGACAAATAGGCCACGCATGCTTCTGATGCACCACTTCAGAGCCCGAAACTGCCTCAAGGTTTCACCCTGCAGAGCAAAAACCCGGCTGTCCGCGGGCTCTACACAGACCTGGCCACGGCTGTACACTCCTTGCAGTGCATGGCTAAGTGCAAGTACGGGGCCCCCTTAAGCAAGCTCTGATGTTTGCAAAAGTGCAAATTCAGGCAGTATTCCTTTCCACGTGGTAAAGGAACACGGGATCCTTTTTCGCACTGAACGAACCTTCTACCATGTCACATTCATCACTTTCTTTACTGCTTTTCTTTGCGGTCAACTTTTGCACCACTGGGAAAATCGGGGCCAATTTGTTTTCGGCTGAAAATACAACCCGCATCCCATAACATTACACAAATTTTTAAAAATTTATGTGAGATTTTATGCAGGTAAGAGACAACAGCTATCTGTTCTGCCTCCCCCTCACCTTAGCCATCCCTGTCTCTTGTGTTGCCTCTTGTATTTTTTACTTCTCGGCGATCCTCTCCACAAGCCAAAAAACAAATTCGTCTACATAGCCGGATCCCCTTAGGTGCTTTATCTACATGCTCTTATTCATCAAATGCACGCACGATTTTGTGAGGGCTGCTTTTATGTAGGAGTGCCATTTTTTGCTTTTTTCAAGTGTGCCAATGAATAGTTTAGCAAGCCCTTTTGCCAATCTGGGGTGATCCCTGTGTGGAAGAGAGAATACTTAATAATCATTTATTGAAACACTAAGCGAGCATGAGTGTTGTCATCATGAATTTGTACAAAGTGGAAACATGTCAATGAGATCTTCATCGATGTAATCTTAAAAAACGAATAAACTAGCTTTAATCTCTTTTTTTTACACCCTGCAAACGTGCTCACTAACAAGTACAGTGGAGCAGAGCAATCACATTGTTTTACTATTACAGCCCTGCACGCCACACAGACTCTCCATCTTAAAAAACGATCCTGCGCGTGTTTCCTTCGCCTGACCAATCCTCCTCATATGTGCACAGTAATGAAACTTTGCCCATGGGCAACTTTTATGTACTACTGAGCTCGTCGATTGGTCTTTTGCCCAATGAAACAGTGCTTTAGCGATGCAGTTTCGGCCATGCAGCCCGCATTTTCAATTTCCTGTGCTGCCCTTTGCCGTTTTCTAGAGCCCAAGACTACAGGAAGAAGTGGTATTGCCAGAACGAAAGCCTCTGAGATAGAGAGGCATCTTGCTACTTTAGCGCTAGGAAAGATGGGTGCTTCTCGAAGTGCGTTTTCTACTCGCGCTGCAACAACACCTGCTTACATTGGGGATGCCCTCCTCAGTCATTCGCTGACGTATCGCTGACGTTGTGTTACATTTCCAAAGTTGGCGGAAGCACGATGACAGGCTGTGCTTTTCTCCTCCTTATGGTAGGGAAGGGTGGCGAGGCCATGCGAAAATTCGAAACTCGCTGACACTGATGTTTTAACCCCTTAACTTCTTTATTATAATACACATTAGCAAAATTTTCGTGGCAGCACATTCACATAGCAAAAGTGTGCATATTTCCCTTCATATCAATTTTTTGGACTACGGGGTTGTTTAATAGCCCTTTAAGCAGCCTACCTGATGGCCTTGTTGCACATCAACTCAACTGCTTTGCCTTATTTGAAGTCTCAGAAGCAGCCTTACCATTGTGAATCAAAATAGTCAATGCTCTCAGTATACCCCAGAAATCCTTCAAGGTGGCACCAAAGCATGGCATAAGCACATTGGGTCAACCACACTGCTTTTAAATGGCCTCCACATGCCTGCAAGCACCTTTTTACCACAGACTCCATAGGCCTATGGAGACTGCAGAATACTATGACGCAGAGCTTTCAAGGTTTGTGTTGGGCCATATGTCATCATTGAATTGTGTTCAGATTGCTCTATTGCTGTACGAGAGATCAGTGAAACAATTTTTCTAATACACATGGCCAATTACAATGACTTCAAAGCACCACCACACAGGGCTATTATACAAGGATGCCTCAAGACTTCAGATGCTGACTACTTTTTGTAACATGTTATCATAACTGCGGCTATCAAATAGCAGAACCCTTAGTCTATGCTGTGTGATTGTTGTGACAATGAATATGGGCCAGATTGGCAGAGTAGTGGTAAAGGTGGCATTTTCTAGAGGACAAAAGAATAAGCCCATATCAATTTTTCTTCATGTTGGCCCTTTCGTTATCATAAAAACACAGAAAGCTGCAGCGAACTGACCGAAAAACTTTTGCGTTCAATTTGTAGACATTTTTATTTGAAGGGTCCGTTTCTTTCACTATTTCAAAAAAAAAAAAAAGCATGATTCAAAGATAGCTTGACCTCATGGTAATACAATAAAAGCAGAAACACCAATTGCACCCCACAGAAAGGTACCAGTGGCCATTTAATGTAAAAAAACTCAACTAAGATGAGTACAAATTTGATTGGTTTTGTCTTTGTTGACAATAAGTGCATAGCTGTCACTTTGTAATCTCTGACGACTGTACTGGTCATTGGGAGTGAAAGCATATTTTATCTACTTTGAGCGGAACAAACAAGGACGAAGAAAAGAGCCCACCGGGACAAGCACAATGTAACTTTGTTGTGAGATTGCACAAAGTGGCGAAAATGTGAATCCATTCCAACTAAGCCGGCAAGAAGTTTTGACAGTCAAAAGGTTTATTTATATCCAAACATTCTATGAGAGCTCTGATGTATCAATGGTTTCACACTACGAATAAGGGCTGGTCTTGCTTATATGCACTGAGATATGAAAGGCATTAATTGATTGAAAGCGTTAAAAATGTTTGGTTGGTGCTGTATGCCAGGTGACATTTCTTCGCATGAATCTCAAAATCCAGTAGCTTTGACCAAGCACGGCCCTTGTGCCATTTAAAGAACCCCAAAAACCAGTCGGCTTACCTGCACATCAAGCAATGCTGACCAGATGAGGGCTCTGCACAGTGGTGGGATATCCAGCTTTGCCTCCCGGATGATCCGCTGCTGCTGATAAGGGTATGCCTCCAGGAGCCGATTGTAAAGAATGATTCGCTGAATCTACATTTTCAGCAGCGCCCTGTTAGCTCGGCTATATTAGCTATTTGGCTAGAAAAAAAAATAAAGTCACTTGCCTGGTATTCTACGTCTTTTTCACGGATGACTACAGGCAATGCAGCGGTGTCACTACTGAAGCTCGGACTAGCAGGCACATCCCCGCTTCTGAAAAAAATCATAAACCTCCATTTAGAAAAATCAGTTCTTTAGAAACCTGCAAGGTGGCAGAACCACCCATCAGTAGTACAAGAATGTTTCAGAAAGAAAGCTACTTAGTTGACGAGCAATCTGAGCTTGAGATTACTACCAGGGCACACAAAAAGAATGCACAGTTCTGACACGCCCAGTGCTAATATTTTTAAATTGGTTTCTTCAAGTTGTTAGGTTTGGCCTGGGGATTCGTCTCTCAATCCCTTTGGCGCCCAGACGCTGTCAAGTATTTGAGTGATTATCTAGACCAGGCGGCGGGCAGAGGCAAGTCCCGTCCTTCCAGTGCGAACCCTTTGGTCGTCCCTTCGAGCAGCAGCGTGACTGATGGCCTCGTCGACTCGTCGGGCGACAGGAGGGCTGGCGTGGCCGGCGCCGGAGTTGACAAAGGAGCGGCGCTCCCTTTTGATCCCCAGTCACCAAGCCGACCGGCCGACTGCCTATGCTCGTCAGGCATTGTACGTGCTAGCCGGAGGGCGAGACGTCGTGTCGCCAAGACGCCGCTAACCATTCGAGAGAGGCCAACAGAGACAGCACCTTCCTGGAGGAGACCAACGGCCACCGCAAATTACCCCGCTAATTGAGCGAACAAAATCGGCGGACCCTTTGAAGTATGCTGCCAGGATCATGGGAACTCTCGAGTGGCGGCACACACACGACGCGGAAGAGCCCTGCTGGCGCCAACCATTGTGCAGTGTTCACGTGGACCTTGCATGCTCGCCTCCCTCACCTGTGTGTGCGTGATTGGTGTTCGACTCTGAGAGGAGGAGCCCGACAGGGCATAAAACGACGCGGCAGAGTGCTGGACATCGGGCTCTGAACCTTGCTCTGAACTATGTAACGTTCAACCACCACGCTCGTGGTTTGTTAAACCACTATCCCTTCTGTTCTGTAAATATGTGTAAATAGAGTCATAAACCCATGTTCTGTTCTCGTATCCTCCAGCGTGCTACTTCCTCCTTCGTAAACCCTTACATCTGGTTGGCAGCGGTGAGATGGACCTCGCGACATGGTGCTGTGCTGTGGTGAGTGCTTGGTCTTTGCTTTGACTTTCCAGGCTTCAATTGTGTGAGTTTATTAGAAGCTGGATTGTGTGTGGATTAGGGAGATTACCTTTTGTGAGTTGTAGGGATCACCTAATTATGTGTGAGATGCAGGACCAAAGTACAACGGCAATCATGTCGTGGAAAGCAATGCTAAGAGATGAACTTTTGCTTGTGAGTAAGCATCTAGGCATTGAAGTAGAGGAAGGAATGGTTAGGACAGCTATTGTGAGGCTGATCTCGCAAAAAGCCAGTGAGGTGAAGACACTGCTAAAAGATGGTCTTTTGTACATTTGTGAAGACCTTGGTATTAAGATTAAGAAAGGAATGGGCAGGTCAGAAATTTTAGAGCTAATTTTGGAAAGCGCCAGTGAGGTGGATATTGGATACGCGTTAAAAGCTTTAAAAGGGTTGGAGGAACGGAAACGGGAGGAACGGAAACGAGAGGAACGCGAAAAAAAGGAACGGGAAAGAAAAGAAAAGGAAAGCAGGGATAGAAAAGAAAGAGAAGAAAGAGAAAGATTGGAACGACAGAAAGAGAGAGAGCAGTGGGAGGAAAGCCTGAAATTAAAACAGGAAGAGAGAAAAAGATCAATACAGTACCTTAGATTGGCTCAAGTAAATTCGAGGATCCATGCATTCGAAGTGGGCGAGGATTTAGAGAGTTATCTAACCTCTTACGAGAAAGTTTGCAGAGAACTAGAGCTCGACAAGGACTATTGGTCTCTCGCCTTATCGAGTGTCCTTCCGTGCAGCTTGATGGGTAGGTTACTATACCTTTCCGAGGAACAGTTCAATAGGTACGATGTAGCTAAGGCAGCTTTACTGCGGTGCTTCGGCATCAGAGTTGACAGAAAGCGAGTAGAGTACAAGCTCACGAACGCTCCCGTGAAGAACGCGCGACGTTGTGCTAGTAGTAAAACCAAGCCTGAGGGAGGTCCGCGTGTCTCTTATAGCACCAAAGTAGATAGTGAGCGAAAATGGGAGATAGAAAAACGGGAGCGAGGTGACGAGCGTGAGCGGGCACTCAGCCTAGGGATTGAACTGTCGGAAGAAAAAGTCGAGGCAAGGAGGCGGAAGATTCAGCCATCCGCAAGTGTAGCGCACGAGAAGTGTGAGGTGCAGCCCAGAGCTTTAGAGAAGGCTAGCACGTGTGAAGAGCGCAGCAGGTTCGAAGACGAACCAAATGTGAGAGCTGCGAAAGATGCTGAGCTGCGTAGAGAGGCCGACGAAGGCCAGAGCGAATGCGACGAGGTGCTGTGCCAGTTTAATATTAGCGAAACAGCTAGAATAGCTGTAGACAATCTGGCACAGACCTCAACTGTGTTTGTCGCAACGGTGGATCTTGCAAACAGTGTGGAAGTACGCAAGGACACCGAAGAAAGCTCAGAAGCAGCGAAAGTAGGTGGCGGGGATATCAGTGCAGTCGCAGACAGCTCTCAGCAATGCGAGCTAGAGTGTTTGCAGGAAAGCAGCTGCACTGTTCCTAAGAGCGTCAAGCTGTCCGCCGATCTAGAGTGTGAAATAGGTGGTTTTTTCGAAAATCATCTAGACGGAGCGGCGTCGACAGCTGACGAGTGTAGTGAGAGTGTTAGCCACCTTGAGCTGCGAGCAGTAGGCTCAGAGACGAGTAGCAGGAAGCGGCGCAGACGCAAGAGACGTCGCAAAGTCGCGAGTGAGACAAGCAGCTCTACGCATGTTCAGAAAAGTTTGAGGCCTATTAGCGCAGCAAGCAGAACTAGGCATTTTGCGTCAGTGACAAAGTTCATTTGTATATGTCTGAACTGCCAGACGAAAGGAAAGGGACCAGCGGGTCCATCGCAAATGAAATCAAATGGGAGGCGCCAGGTTAGTTGGGTGCGTGAGTACAAAGTTAAGACAAATGAATCGGCCCGACATGGCACCAGTGCTAGGAAATCGAACTGGCAAAATAGTGTAGCAGGTGGTACAGAAGAACCCTCGAGCTGTAGAGCAGCCGATGACGCAACCCGAGGCGAACTTCCTAGTTGTGAGAAAACGGGTCGCAAGCGTCGCCGTAGACAGGTGAAGGGTACGCGCGCGACAAAGCGAAGGCACAAAGGAGGAAGCAAGCATCGGGGAAAAGAGGGTGGCTCATCGGCCAGTTCAGCGAAGAGGCCTTTGTGGCGGGAAGTAAGGCGCCAGCGGCGAAAGGGTAAACCACAGCGCGCATTCGCGAGACGGTATGCGCAGTGGAGATTTAGGGCTTTTCATGAAAAAGAGTGTCGACGTGGTCCTAGAAGAAAGACCACAATAGCTAAACACCGCTCGGCTAGACCAAATAGGACCCCGTCACTCTTTCCCTTGCATTGCTCGGGTTCCCTCCGCCGGATTGACAGAGGACGGCCGAAATCGCAAATGAGGCGTAGCGCTGCCGTTCAGCTTGTAGCACTTACGCGACTTTGCCTCGGGCGCCCTCGAAATCCGCCAAGTCCTCGACAACCACGAGTGCGATTGAAGGGAGGGACAACTGTAAGCTGGTGAGTGAACGGGGGAGTGTTCTTAGTAGCATGCTTTTTGGTTATTATTGGTTTTGAAGTAATACTCCTTTGTCCTCTCCCAGGCTAGTTTGTTTGGATACAGTTTTCCCTTCTAGATTTTCTAAGGGCATTGTAAATGTTTTTAGTTGAGTTACAGGGAAATGGCCTATGGTTAGGTGCGCGATTGGTGTGCTGACGCTCTTTGAATGAGAGTATGATGTCGTGCTAGGGCGCACAGCAATGTGCGCTCTTTAAAAACATGGGCTGACATGAAACTACATCCAGCAAATGAGCGTGTTAGTACACGAGTTGAATTTCACTTTGTGATTTTAGTATGCGCTCAGGGATCAGGTGAATTCTTTCGCTGAGCGTTATGTTATATCGAACGTTGAGATTAGAGATACGTTTTAAGGATTTACACAGTTCGATATCTTGAGAAAATTTACGTTCAGATGAGGGTTTGAGGATACCTAGGTGAGAGAGATATCACCTATGGTGAGGTGCGTGTTGGTATGCTAGCGCTCTTTGGATGAAAGTAAGATGTCGTGCTAGAGCGCACAGCAAAGTCATGTGCGTTCTTTAAAAACATGGGCTGACATGAAACTACATCCAGCAAATGAGCGTGTTAGCACACCAAGTTTACTTCGTTTTGTTGTTTTTGTGATCACTTAGGGATCATATATGATCACTTGAGCTGAAAGCACTGCGCTCACCAAATTTTGAGATTAGATACCTTTATAGGATTGATAAGACGCAGTTTGATCTGTTGTGAGTGAGTTTTCGTTGGTGTCAGGGTGTCCCCCAAGTAGGCACTCATGACTACGTTAAGTGTGTAATTAAGAGAATGAATAATGCTCACAGTTACCTTGAGTTGGGTTCAGGCTGCATTTGTACGAAAACCATTGTAGATAGTGATGTTTCATTAAAGTTAATGATAGATTAACAGATGTTAGTTACAACTCAGTAGTGCGGATGGTTGGAGAAAGCTAGTTGTGAAAGAGTGATTCTCGTTTATGGGGCCAAATTGTATTTGCCTTTGTGTGCTTTTTTCGCACGGCAATTTGTTCCATCTTTAGTAAGCATCTCCACATCCATGATTGTTGTAACTTTGGCGGCACAAAATTGTTTCAAAACTTTAGCGTACAGGTTTCTCTTTTGTTTGTGTTTCGAGAAGCCTGGAGGGTTGTAAGCGGGTCCAATGTGCTTGACTGCAGCATGGTATTGTGTTGTGTGGTTCGCCTTGCTGTTGTCAGTCATTGTGAGCTGGATTGGGAGTTGGTTTCGAGTTCGCAGCTGGAGAGAGAAAAGCCAGGCCATCGTCCTCGTCACCACCCATTCTCTTCGTGCCTAGCGGTTGGGAGCGCTGGCCAGCCGAGATTTTCCGGGCGGCGGAGGAGCTGTTAGGTTTGGCCTGGGGATTCGTCTCTCAATCCCTTCGACGCCCAGACGCTGTCAAGTATTTGAGTGATTATCCAGACCAGGCGGCGGGCAGAGGCAAGTCCCGTCCTTCCAGTGCGAACCCTTTGGTCGTCCCTTCAAGCAGCAGCGTGACTGATGGCCTCGTCGACTCGTCGGGCGACAGGAGGACTGGCGTGGCCGGCACCGGAGTTGACAGAGGAGCGGCGCTCCCTTTTGATCCCCAGTCACCAAGCCGACCGGCCGACTGCCTATGCTCGTCAGGCATTGTACGTGCTAGCCGGAGGGCGAGACGTCGTGTCGCCAAGACGCCGCTAACCATTCGAGAGAGGCCAACAGAGACAGCACCTTCCTGGAGGAGACCAACGGCCACCGCAAATTACCCCGCTAATTGAGCGAACAAAATCGGCGGACCCTTTGAAGTATGCTGCCAGGATCATGGGAACTCTCGAGTGGCGGCACACACACGACGCGAAAGAGCCCTGCTGGCGCCACCCACTGTGCAGTGTTCACGTGGACCTTGCATGCTCGCCTCCCTCACCTGTGTGTGCGTGATTGGTGTTCGACTCTGAGAGGAGGAGCCCGACAGGGCATAAAACGACGCGGCAGAGTGCTGGACATCGGGCTCTGAACCTTGCTCTGAACTATGTAACGTTCAACCACCACGCTCGTGGTTTGTTAAACCACTATCCCTTCTGTTCTGTAAATATGTGTAAATAGAGTCATAAACCCATGTTCTGTTCTCGTATCCTCCAGCGTGCTACTTCCTCCTTCGTCAACCCTTACAAAGTATAACAAACTGCCAGAGTTTCTTTTCTTAATTAATAAATTTTCTGCATAATGTCTTAATTAAAGACTCCATTGTTGCTATGATATGGCATGAAGGCCGTAGAGAGGGCTCAAGACTTGCACTGCTAAACATTTGACCAAGCACTACTAAAACTTTTCCCGTCTTGACAAACTACTATTTGGTACCTGGAGTGCTATCGCCGAGCAGTGCTTTTATTTCATGCTAGTCTTACTTTTCACCACTTGTGGCCACACTGATACGACAGATGGACTGTACCGCAGACCACTGGTCAAGCACAAGAAGCACCGCTCCACGATTAGAAGCTGATGCACAGACTTACTCTTCTATCAGGGGATAGTAGAGATTTGGATCCATTCCTTCCAGCCTCTGCAATGGATATCCATCACCACATGACCGCTTAGCACACGCTGGAATGAAATTACCTGGCAAAGTTGCTCCGCGGATAGGAGCACAACTGTGTGGTCATAGAAGAAAATTGTATCCTTCTTCTGCCCGAGCTCTTCTCCCTCTAGAAGTACAATGCTAAAAGTAGAAAAAAGAAATGTTTCTCATCAAACACAGCCTGGTTGATAAGATCTTACAAAAATTGGTCCAGTATCTGCATGTTACACTGCAAATATCGTCGAAAGACGATAGTCTTGCGTCTGGAGAGAGTGAACAAAATGTTTATTTGATGTTCTGCACAAGAAAATCGGTGAATGGTATTCTGGAGGCGTTGCGTTAGAGTGCCTCGAGCGTGCAGCAGAGGCGAACAAACGCATCAAATCATGTCACACGTGAAACATGAGTACTATTTGGCAGTTATCTTGGAAAACAAAGCATGCGACGTGCACGCCCGTCTCGGAGATGATAAGGTGTAGAAAGCAAGGCGACGGGTAGGTGCCACCCCCGTGTCGTCTTAGCAAAGCATTGAAAACACTTTCCTTTTCGTGCAAGCCTTTCATGGTCAGCCCAGCGTGATAAATGCTACGGTCCTTAGAATTACTTACGCCTTTTCTAGTAAAAGATGCATATACAGAATATTGACGTTTTGGTATGCTGCCTCAGATATGCACAATAATTGCTTTTTAATTGCACAAGTATGAATGTTGAATCTGGGCGCTCGGGATGGGATCGGCCGTTTGGAGTATCGCTTGGTACCGTTTAGGGTACCGTTAAGGGCGGACAAACAGACAAATGTACAGAGATACAGACCAAAATTTTTGCGTTGAAGGTCCCCAAGAAAGACTATCGTCTTTAATATTCGAGCCAGATAGTGTGGTTTCAGCAATGTCCCTGCAACATAATCTGGCACTTCCACCAATTAACTCACCATGGCATTGTACAGATGGGGGGCTTAGCACGCAGACTGCCTTGCCTGCCAAGCTCTGCTTCTGCATCGCCACCAGCTAGGCACCACAGGGAGTACAGCTCTTGCAGAGGGCGCTCTTCCAAGGGACTTTCTCCTGAATACAACAATAAGCATTGTTGTTGTTGTTATGTGATGTTTATTGGAGCAAGGGCCATTTGATGGCCAAAGAGTGCCAGGGCACGATTAAGAGTGTGAAAAATGGTTATGTTAAGTGTGGTATCGAGGTTTTGGTCGGTGGGGTAGCTTGCACGGGTCCCGAGTCGTCAGCACAAGGAAGAAGGCTCGATGCCCATCTTGACGCCTGATGCACGTGCATTGAAGATCCCATCCTCGTCGCCCAAATGTAGTATCGTGCGGCGGACGTGCCGCATGGAGAACACATGCACGATACTACACTAAGCAGCTGTACAGAGGCATAAAATTCCTCGCCCTAAAGGAGGACAAAATATATAGGTATTAAAATCATGAGAATGACATGTTATGCGTGCATTGAAAATGATCGGCGAATGGTTGCAAAAATACAATGAGGAAGAGATGGACAATAGCACGCGTGCCTACTCAAAGCCTTTGTGGCCAATGGCAGGGAGGCCAGTGCTTCCTGTAATGTAGCCACTGCAACAGGGACCCCTGTTCAGAGGTCATGCTGCGGAATACCAAGGTAGATGTAGTGAAACCAATGAATATAATTTAAAAACAAAAAGAGTGAATTGAGTTTAAAAAGGGGATCTTTACTGATAAAGATTGCTGGCTAAAGAGGCATTTGCTCTCGGTGCGGCAATGGGAAATTCTTTTTTCTGATAGGGTCTAGTTCACTGCATTATATTAAATTATGAAGCAAGGTCAGTGGTTCGCTACATTTCGCACACATGGGAGGGTCACCGCCAGACAGAAGGTATGAATGTGTATGTACTGTGTGTCCTATTCTGAGCCTTGCAAGTGTAACTTCTGTATAGTGCAACTTTGACACTGGCAGCTAGTTACCAAATTGTGGCTTGATAATGTGTAGTTTATTCTGTGTGTGTAAATCTCATGTGCTCTGCCAGTAAGCTCTGAGCTTTTGTCTAAGGTAAGGTTTTAGGTAAAGCACAGGCATAGCTACAGACATATTGGTGTTTTCCTTGGCGGATGCAGCTAGCTGATCCGCCAACACGTTTCCTTGTATCTCGCGGTGCCCTGGCACCTAGCACACTGCGACATGTTTTCTAAGTGAGTAAACTGTGCACAGAAGTGAGTAGAGTGAGACAAAGATGGTGTTTTTTATCTCTTGAGCATTTTGTGGGCTTTTACTATGCCTAGGGAGTCTGTGTACTGCACTTTGTAAATTTAGTTCTTTTATGCGTTTTACGGCTGCAAGTATCACGTAGGCTTCTGCTGTAAAGATGCTGGTGTTAGGATGCAGAGTGCCGGCATCTGTAAAGGATGGACAAACCGCTTTGTGATGAGTCTTTGAGGCATTTGTAAATAATTCGAGACATGAATATTTACCCTGTAGTTCAAAAAAATGTGTGCAGGTATGTGCAATGGGTACGTGCTTGGTAACTTGAACAACTGATATATTACAGTCTATGTGCTGCTACTAGCATGGCGGGACATATGGAGCAGGGGCAGCCAAATGGTGTTCTAGTGGCTTGCCGGTTTCTTTAGCTAGACTCCTCCCACGAAGTGCGTAGGGCTGTCTCATGGCAGGGAGATTATCAAAGTGGACAGAACTGGACATATCACTGATAGTGTAGTGTAAGTGGCGTTTCTTATTCGCTTGTACTTTGATAAAGTACACAAGAAATATTAAGCCCCTTTGGAGATCTAATGCCAACTCGTTCAAGTCAAGATACACGTTTTCGACGGGGCTAGTATGAAAAGCCCCCGTAGAAAGGCGAATGCATGTGGTGCACAGGGTCCAGCATCTTCAAAGCGCTTGGCGTGGCAGATAGATAGATAACAGCCCCATAGTATAGGCGTGTTCGAATGAGGCTTTTATAAATATTGAGGAGGCAGTTGTTGTCACTACCCCATGTAGTGGGTGAGAACACTTTCAGGATATTCATGGTTTTTAGACACTTGTTTACGGATAGGATGTGAGATACAGATGTTAGTTTACTATCTAATATTAGGCCCAGAAACTTATGCTTGCGCTTTACGGACAGACATTCACCATGTAGGTAGATGTTGGGGTCAGTGTGAATGCCTCTCTTTCTGGAAAATAAGAAGCAGGTGCTTTTCTGTGGATTCAGTCGAAACCCATTTTTCTCCGGCCATTTGGACACCTTGTTTAATCCAAGTTGGGCCTGCCGCTCGCACGTTACGAGATTGCAGGATTTAAAACAGATCTGGACGTCGTCAACATATGTGCAATAAAACATACTGCGTGGAATGTAGGAATGCAGGCTATTCATTTCTATATTAAAAAGTGTGCAACTTAGTAAACCACCTTGCGGCACTCTAGTCTCTGGGACGAATGACCGAGAGAAGACATTCCCCACCCGGACACGGAAGGTACGATTGGGCAAATAGCTTTTGATTGTTAGCATGCTACCTCGGACACCTAAGCGTGAGGGGTCTCGCGGTATGCCAAACCACCATGTCATGTCGTACGCCTTTTCTATATTTAAGAATACAGGAAGAAAAAATTGTTTATGAATGAAAGCACTGCGAGTTTGTGCCTCGACGCGTAATAGATGATCAGTGGTGCATCTACCCTTACGAAATCCGCACCTATAAGGATCCAGTAGATTGTTTGTTTCCAGGAAATGTAAAAGCCGGCGGTTAATCATAAGTTTACACAGGCAGCTAGTGCGTGCAATTGGCCTGTAGCTTTTAACGGATGATGGATCCTTGCCTTGCTTTAAAATAGGAATAATAATGGTTTCTTTCCAGACAGAAGGAATGTCGCCAGAAAACCAAATGGCATTATACAAGGAAAGAAGCATTTTTTGTGTTGCAGAGTTCAGGTGTTTTAGCATTTCATATAGTACTGTACTCGGTCGGAGCCTGGGGCAGATTTATTGTGGCAGTTTAGCGATGCCTGTAACTCAGCTAAGACGAAAGATTTATTGTATGGTTCGTGTTTTATGAATATGCGCTCTAGTTTTTGTTTTTCGATGATTGCTTCGTATCACTGGAACGATGTGGTATAGTGCGACGAGCTGGAGACCTGTTCAAATTGTGCCCCAAGAGAGTTTGCCAGGTCCTCCAAGCTGTCTCCTTGCGTGTTCACAAGAAGAAGTGGGTGCGATTGCCACCCTACTACCTTACCCATCATGTTCCAGACTCTCACCTCCTGTGTATATGAATTAATTCTGGACGAAAACTTATGCCAACTTTCCTTTCTCGCCTGTCTGCGCATTCTTCTGCCTTGAGATTTTATGTTTTTAAAATTGTCAAGGTTTTTGGCTGTTGATGAGTTCCGAAGCAACCTCCATGCTTTATTTTGCTTTTTTCGAGCATTTTGACAATAATTGTTCCACCAAGGAATGCGTCGTTTGACAGACAGTCCAGTTTTTGAGATACTTTGCGTCAGCATCAATAAAAAATGTTGTGAAGTATGTAGTCGACAGCTGCATCTCAGCTTAAGGCCCACATGTCGCTCCAGCTTAAAAGTGCATCTTTTTTAAACTGTTGCCAATTTGCTTTTTCAATCTGCCACATAGGAGCCCGTACAAACGATTCCTTTTCTTTTGGAACGCACAGAACTATTGGAAACTGGTCACTTCCGTTAGGATTCACAATAACTTTTCAGTTAAGTTGGGGAATAAAAGCTGGAGATGCTATGCTGAGGTCTACAGCAGAGTATGTTTGACTTGCGAGGAATTTATGTTGGTTCTTTCCTATTCAACAGACATGCACCGAAAGAGAACAAAACCATTCGATTAGGCGATCTCATGCATTGAAGCGAAGATCATCCCATCGACTGCTATGTGCATTCAGGTCCCGAAGGACCAGGTAAGATTCTGGCAGTTAATCTATTAGGGACTAGAATTCATGTTTTTCAAGACGTACTGTGGAGGTACGTAAAGGGAGCAGATGGTGATGAGTTTGTTTAAAAGAACTGCTCGAACATCCACTGCCTCAAGGGATGTTCGAAGCAATATGTGCGTACATGCCAAGCCTTAACTATAATGGCCATACCACCGGATGATGCCACAACATCGTCCCGGTTCTTTCTGAATATAACATAATGGCGTTGAAAAATGGTGTTCTTGGATTTTAAGTGTGTTTCTTGTACACACAGTGCTTTTGGCGAGTGTTTGTGTAAAAGTTCTTGGACATTGTCAAGGTTCCTGAGAAGGCCTCTGACGTTCGACTGTATAATTTGTGCGTTCATGATAAAAGTAATGTAGTGCTGTGTGTACAAAAAGCGAGTGGCTGTTTAGGCAGAAAGTTGGAATTCAAGTAACAGGGTAACACCAGGCCCCATAGGATTTTTTTCGAGCGTCCAGTGCGAACGGACGTGTTTTTCTGAGCTCTTGCGTCGACGAGAGATGCAGCAGCATCTCTGTCATTTTCAAATGATTGCTGTCAAAGTACTGCTTCAATCCTCCAAAATTTTACACTCTTCGACAGATCTCATCGAGAGGATTTTACTCAGCCCATTTTTGACCTGGTAGGCCCATTTTTCACCCTTTTTAAAGGCTTTTCTGCGACCGGGCACCCGCCTGTGCGGACAAAAAGGCGTCATGTCGGAGGCGATAGTGGTGGACGGGGAAGTTATTTCCCAAGAAGACGCTAACAAGCCGGGGTGGCAGACCGCTTTGGGCAAGAATAAGCATTATCCACAACAACAAGCGTCCGCTTCTTCTCAAAGTGAAGGAACGGCTGGCCATCACATGGCCACCGTGAATGGCGTCGTTCGGAGTCTTGCAGCCGCCTCGAGGCTTCTCTGATTGCCAAGGAGCCATAGTCGAGTCACAGTACGACCGAAAGGAGGCCTGGATCTCAAGAAGCTTAGCCTGATTCGTTTAGCCCAAGCCCTGGAGACGGCAGCAAAACTGTCTCTAGAAGAAACACTGGAGGATATCGTCTGCCCGAACATAACTCAGAATATTGTTGCGGTCTCTACCCCAGCGTCCCACAACGCGGGCACCTCTGCGGCGCTGC